GACTGCAGTGATATATTTTTTTGACAAAGTGGGTAACATGTCAAGTGAGACTGTTATTATGCCAAGCAGTAATAACTTTAGGGGGCATGACAGTGTGAAGGCTCAAGATACTGAATACTGAAAATTCAAATTTGGGTCAAACTACCAGTATTTAGCAATTGTATTGTTCAACTGCTTGTGAACTTGAACAAAAGTATGAATACCTTGTTAGTGAAACCCATGATATAAGGAAATCAGGAAAATTTATAAAGTTTTCAAGATTAAAACATGCTCGACTTTGTTATGAATTCCATGATTCTGACATGTTTTATATACACTCCTGCTACACGGATAGAAGTGGAATGATCATTGTCCTGCTTACAACAGATACATCATGTCAATGTAGAATCTGAAGGAAAGTTTAGGTTATTCAAATATGGCAAAGAATACCAGCAATGGACCTGAAGAAAGATGCCGTTTTCAACAACTTTCTAAGGGAAACTGGCTTGTATTTGCATTACGTATGAGTAAAACTAGAAAAATCAACCATGCAGCCAGCCCTTTGACCATGATATGAAACCAGATCAAACTACAAGTATGCAATATCAGTTGTAGGAAAAATCTGAAGAAAAAGCTTGCAATATCATGTAATCAGAAATTAACTATATGTTGCATAGCAGGATTACTTTTGCAAATTTCGAGGTAGAGAATACTACTACTTTTTTTTTTTTTTCTTTTTCTTTATATAGGTATTTGGCCATGGTATTCATTACATATATTCTCTGTCATTCATACAGAATACTAATATTTTTAGTAAAAAGGGTCCTTTTTCATTAAGTGCTTTGCTTGTCGATATTCTCAAAATTATGTTTAATAATTAGTGCTACTGTACATTTAACAAATTAATGGATTCATTACTAAATAATACATTTAAAACATTCATTTTACACAAGCAATTTTTCAAAGTTGTTTTTTGAATTTACTTGCTGATAGCTAAAATATTTTATTTTGAAACAACTGTCTTTTTCATAATAAATGTGACAATGCCAAGTATCTTCAATAATATTCAAATCCTTTAAAATAGCATTGTAAATAAAACTTAGAATAAACATTATGCATCTTGTTATCTTTCAAGATTCAATTCAAACTTTCATTAATTACTCAAAGCAGTGGTTTACTAACTTTGATGACCCTAGGAATAAAAGTATTTTGTCATCTCAGAGAACCAATAATTTTTTTTTTTTTTTCTAATCATCTATTGTATATAAACACCTAGCATCCTCTGAAAAGTAATTTTTAAATGCATTAAAAAATATCAAATTTTTAAGCATGAAACTGTTTAATTCTAGTATTTTAGGTAAAATACGTAATAAAATAAAAACTTAATTATTTAAAACGTATATCATTGCGGCCCACGTTAATCCTAATATTTTAGAAGCCCTCTGGTTCTGCGTGTTTAAAGACTTTAAAAAAATTATGGAAGAACCATGGAGGTAGGAAGTAAGATGGAGTAGCCCTAAACAGGTTTCTCCCATACCCTGCTCTGAAGCACCGGCGATCCCTACGTGGTGACCGAAACATTGGGTCATTTACCATTAAGTTCAATGGGTTTTGACACGATCGGATGTAAATATTTTGTAATTACATCGTAAATATACATATAAATGTATATATTTTCTTTTTCTACAACACTCCAGAGCCCTAAGTATATGAAAACAACATTTCATTCTGAATGGAATTAAATGCTATACTTTTCTCAGAATGGTTTAATTTGAAAGAAATATTTTCACATGTTTTCGTTAATTACATTGGAAAAAAAATTTACGGTAATTTGATTTTATTCGGTTAAGGCACAAAAATTAAGATTAAAGTTTATTGTATTATTAATATTAAAATTGTGCATTATTTCTTTTTTTATTTATAGAGCTTCTTCCTAAAATACTTTCTTAAATATGACATGATTTTTTGGCTTCTGAGGCATCTTTTAAATCGAAAAATATAAGTCAATTTATAATTAATGCTCTATTCGGTTCATTTTAAATTAGAGAATTATTATAAATTAGCGAAATACTTTAAATAGTACTTAACTTTCTCTGAAAATTTCTGAAAGGGAATAAAATAAGGATTTTTTTTTTAAGTATTATTTAAAACTTGTAACTGAGTTATTATAAAATGTAAGGGGAATAATTCTTTTAATTATACTTATCAGATTTTTTTTTTTTTTTTTACCATTAATTTCAACAATACATGTTACAAAACTCTTTATTACTTTCTTAAGTGCACATCTCGTAGCATTTGCTTTACAATGCCTTTTAACAGATTGCTTTCCAGTACGAACAATTCTTGCTTAAGTAGTTTTATAAGGTATTTGTGAACAGGATTTCAATTTATGTTTACAATTCAATATTAAGGTTATTATATATTTAGATAACATTTATAATCATTATATTAGATACATTTAATAATTAGATTTCTTCACAGTTGTTCATAAATGAATAAATTCTTCGGTTGATCTTTACATTATGGTAACTTGGCGTTTTTTTAGCGAAAATTTGGCGACCAACTCTCCTACAGCAACCCTCTATTTTTTTTTTCCCACCGCCATTTTGTCTGCACGAAGTGAAGACATGTTTCTTTTCTTTTTATCTACTCCAACAATCTACTAGCCGAAATACACTTATGCTAGAAATTTTATCTAACAAAACTGCTTAATCATGACAAATATTCACTGCAAAATTGGGAAAAAGTGCACAATAACATCTCCTTACGCGTTTTTCAAAATAACACATACACATAAACCATGTACACGCCGACTTATTTTTACTTAAAAAAAACATCCCAGAATTGCACAAAAATGGCATTGCGCACACTCTTCACTATATCCATGTACACTGCTTTTTTCTCATAAATTAGAAAAATTTCACGAAAATACATGACAATTTTCTCAATCTTTAAACCCGTAAAAAGAAATATATGAAATTACCTGATCGCGAAAAAAAAAGTATTTACCCTTTCCAAATATGAACATTTCCACATATAAAATAAATAAAATATCCAAAAACTTTTACCTTTAAATCATCTATTACATTATACACGTCACCAATGAATTCATACCGCAAGCATTATAAATACTTAGTATCAAATATTTAAATTATTTCCATGCACGTTTACTTCAACTTAAAGGTATACCAAATTCCTACAAACATAAAATTCACAAAATAACTATCATTTAATTAAAATATCACTAAACCATGTACAGGCCGACTTATTTTTACTTAAAAAAAACATCCCAGAATTGCACAAAAATGGCATTGCGCACACTCTTCACTATATCCATGTACACTGCTTTTTTCTCATAAATTAGAAAAATTTCACGAAAATACATGACAATTTTCTCAATCTTTAAACCGGTAAAAAGAACATATATGTCAATATTTTATATTATTTCCATGCACGTTTACTTCAACTAAATGTATACTAAAAATTCCTACAAACATAAAATTCACAAAATAACTATCATTTAATTAAAATATAATTAAATTCAAAAACACTACTTAAAATATAAATGAGCACATACATTAATTATACATACATAAGTACCCATTTCGAATTCACTTTAGTTACGGCCATGGGATCCAAAAATTCACGAACACTGTTTCACACAACAGAATAAAGCCAAATACAAAATTTCCAGATTTTTTCCCAATTTCCCCCCTTTTCCGATTAAAGAACCGTAATTCGTCCATTAATATCACATGACATATCCCATGATCTCTCATTTCCCTCACACAAAATAATGCGTAATCGGAACTGAGTACTGCTCAAATTATTACCAAAGTGCCAGGTAGTAACCTTTATCGCCTTCAAAATGTTGCCAAACTACCAGTTACCATATTGTAAAGATCAACCAATTCTTCATTTCAAATACATTTATAAATAATTTAATGAATATTTATGTATTTTGTTAAAGGCAGATACATGTATTTTGCAAGCACATGCATAAATACCCATACATATTTCATATTTTTCATTTCCGGCATGTGCAAATCTTTAATTTCTGTGCATTCACTATATTTTATTTTTAATTAACCCAAATAAGTAAAACGTGTAAGCCCAAAGGGATTATTTTCAGATTATAAAATTAAAAATGATGAGTTTAAAAGAGCAACAGAAAAGTTCTGTTCTAAAAAATTTTAAAAGGTAATGTTACAGTAATATATGGATGTGAAAAAAATTAATTTTATTTAAAACATTTTGGCGTTTGGAACATAAATTAAAAGTAGAGAATACTCTATCAAGGGTATTGAAAGACGTATACAATTTTAAAGGTACTGTAAGATATTTTTCATTCTTTAAGCATAACATTTTTGTTAAAATTTATATTTTTGTAGTTCAACAGCTTAGAATTTTATAAAACAAATTCATAATCAAAATCGCTTATAATCAAAATAATCATAATCAAAATTTGTTGTTAGTTATCGAAAAATAACCAAGATATGATTTTTGCGTAAATGTCACTAAACTATACAAATTGCTATTATCTATCACACTATGAATGTTTCTATCATGTGAAAGTGTCCCTTTTTCGATTTGTATGGAACTGTCATGTGTCGAAATACTATCAGAACACTGTCAAGCGAGCTTCTGAATGTAAACAAAGAACTCCCCATCTGGTGACCGAAGCTTCGAAGATTTTCACTTCTAGTGCCGGTTGGCCACTCCTTCCTTTCTTACCTCCATGGGAAGAACACAGCCATACTATTCTAAAAAGCAGTGTTATTTTCACCACCTCACCCGGTAGTGACGAACCAGTAGCCAGCGGCAAAACGGAGCCCCCGAACAGACGAGAAATATTCTCTAAAAGCGAACCAGGTTGCTACTTCCGACAAACCAATTCGTCGGGTTACCAGCTTTGAACTTTTATAGTCATTTTTGGCAATGTTTACATTTAACGGATCCTTTGTGGAAGTGCTTCCTATTTTTCTTTTGAACACCTTACTTATGTCTGTTTTAACTTTCAGGAGCTGTGTGTGCTATATCTTCCCAAAATGACAACTGTAGTAAACCCCAAGCCATTTCTGACCAGCATGACTGGAAAACGCATCTGTGTTAAGTTGAAGTGGGGCATGGAATATATTGGAATCCTTGTGTCAACAGACCAATACATGAATCTCGAGTTGGACGATTGCATCGAGATACTCGAGGACCAAACTATTAGCAGTATTGGAGAAATAAGTATTCGTTGCAACAACGTAGTTTATGTAAGGGCAGCAGATGATGAACAAAAGGACGAAGAATGACTTTCTCTCGAGCATTTACTACATTTATCAAACTTTTTTATGTTTATCTTTGGGATGCATTCCATAATTTGCATTCATTTTGATTCATTTTATATTTTCAAAAATGTAATACGTTTTTTAAAACGGGATTTAAGTATTGATGTTAGTAAATTTTCATTTTATTTACTTTATTATTGTACGAAGCGCATCACTGATGTGTAAGCATATGGAAAATATAATTGTTTATCATGTTTTATTTTTATGGTCTAGATACGGAAAAACGGCCACGTATTTATTGTAAAAATTTCTGTTTCTTGCTGATAGAACTCGGCAATACTACATTACTAGTACTAATAAGTAAGTAGTTCCATTCTCATTTCCTGAATAAATTGCTATATTTTTTTGGGAGCCTTTTGGAAAACAGCTTTAGTATTGGTCCTTTTGGCGATTATTTGATTTGGTAACAAACTTCGGTCGCCAAGGTAGACCCAGCTTTGAAAATCGGAAAAAAATGGCAGATTGTCAACAAAACCCAACTAGACTAAATAGCAATCTTAAAAAATAAGCTCTTGATTAGAATAAGCAGTCTTTCTCTAATTTTCAACCTTTCTAGTATTGCTATGATAAATTCTTGAAACACTACCGTAAATGAATTTATGGCAGTGATTATGTTAAGAGTAATGAAATTTACAAAAGGTTAATATTTTAATTACAAAATATATTAATGTATTAAATATTAATTTTTAAGTAATTAGTTAATATTTTAAATTTACAAAAGGTTAATTTTTATGTTATGACTAATCAAATTTACAAAAGGTTAATAAATGCATTTTAAACTAGTATATGTTACTTTAGTTTCTTAGATTCTATTATTAAAAGGAAATAAAAAAACATTGGTGAATCTTCAAATTATGGTAACTTGGCGAAAGTTTGGTGATAAACCCTGCTACAGCAACCTGCCTGCTAGTTTTTTTTTTTTTTTTTTTTTTTTTTTGACGCCATTTTGTTTTCACGAAGTAAAGACATGTTTTTTTTTTTTTTACTCAACATTTTTTCCAACAATCTGCTAGTCGAATTACGTTTATGATAGAACTGCTATGTCAACATAGTATTAATAAAAAGTAATAATACTCAGTGAAGGTTATTCATATACAGCTATTAGATTGTGAGATTTATAAAATTTGAGAACTGTAAATTATAAGCAATATATTCCAATATCTAAGCAACATTATATTTTTTATAGTCAGACAAATTATTAAAATGTTATAAAAGCAATAATGAAACCTGATTTTGGTCTATGAATTCATGCAATTACACATCTAATTTAAGAAATGAGGCAAAAAATTATTTTTAGACCATGGTAATTTTGATCATTGCCCATTTAAAGAAACATCTAAAAAGTGTAAATTTGCATGTGGTTCCTTAGCAAAGGAAACACCAAGAGTTTACCTCATGCTACTAAAAATGTGTTCTTTTTCTTTGGGGAGGGATGGAGTTTGTAATATGCAAAGTTGGCATATGAAAAAAATGTCAAGACTCATGTGATGTAATATTAAAAGCATTACTGTTAACTATCAAATTTTGGCTTTTTAAAAAATATTTTAAATGTGCTTTACTAACATGAAAGTAACATTAAAAAAACATACAGTTTATTCCTCCTGCCATCAAAGCTCTGATACCTACCAAATTCCTTAAAGTTACGTGGACAGAAAATGCATGTTTTTCAGCACAGTAGTTAGGGTTATCATAATCTTTCATTTATCACTCCAAAATGTCACCAAAAAAATTATGGCAGGATTTAAATTGTGCTTTATTTTTAGCTTTTGGTATGCTATTGGAGCAGGCTATTTTTAGCTCCATCAAGTACTTTGTTAGGTTTATTTAAATGCTTAAAAAAAAAAAAAAAAAAAAAAAAAAAAAAACGGTAATAAAAATATTTGTTTCTTTTCCAAATATTTGTAAAACAAATTTTGCTTTAAATTCTGCAAAAAATAATGGCAGCAAGTGAATATTAATTTTGTTTTAACACTTTAAGACAATCTTTATTTTTAAATTAAAAAGGCATGATACATGAAAGTTATGCTGCAGCTAGGGCTTGCAAGTATGTTTATTGAGTTTATGAAAAATAATTTGTAATTTTGTTTAAAAAGAAAATAGGTATTTCATGCAAGCAAGAGTATGAAATTTTAATGTGATGTTAAAATTTTACTAAGAGACTAATATTTTGAATTGTGTATCAAAAATAGCACTGAAAAGATCACATCAATTTTATAAGATATGTATAATTTTATTTTAAATGCAAAGCTTTAATTTTTTGGACTGCTCTTATAATCCTTTATTATGGGAATAACAAATTCAAGGTATCCATCTTGTAAAGCTTATTTTTTGAACAGTTTCAGTCAAATTAATGTACTTATCTTCATTTATAATTGATTAAAACCTTGTATAAAAATGTAATTATCTCTCTTGGTGAATTCCGTTTCCTCACAATTAAACCAGTATTTATATACACCAATTTGCATCAGTATTCATTTTTGAAATGTCTTAACCTTTTAACTGTCAAGTTATTTTGATGATTTGGGTGCATAAATTGTCAATTTTTTTTATTTCAAAAATGAAATGTTTGCCTTGCAGTCAAAAAATGTTGCGCACTTTGAACTTAACCCTCTATTCTTTGAAACCTTCAGTAAAATGCTGCCATCTGTTGAACTGAAGCCGAAATAAACTTCTCACGATATATATTTCGGGTATAACAATACGATGCAGTCAAAAAAAATTAGCCTGAATAATACTCGGGCGTGACATTTTGGAATACCAGTGCTGTGCCCGAGATTATTTCGGGCATGACAGTTAAAAGGTTAATAAAGAGTAGCAAATGTTTCCTGTGTCATTTATCTGAGTTCTGCCTTTCCATAAATCAGCATTTTCTGTAACCTAATAATAGTATAGAGAGTGTTTTGTATTTTAGGATAATGTGGATTATGGTAATAATGTAATAGTCCTAGAACATTTTTTTAGAGCATACATTATACAAGTATGTATTTAAGAAAAAGCAAAACTTTTCATTTCTGCAGAAATTGGGCAATAAAATATCCATACTTCCCTTAAATAAAATGTAGTAAAGTAAAATCAAATATAGTAAGCTCGTTACTTGAGGGTGCATAAATGATTATTAAGCTGTATATTATGGTCTTTTTAAAAATATCATTTATTATCTACAGTATACAATGAAATGCAAAAGCATAACATGACATACTGTGGAGTATATGAAGCATAATTTTGGGGGGGGGCATAAAATTTGGCACAAACCATCTGTTTCTCATCAAAGCTTCTGTAACAAACAATACTTTTATTGATGCCATAATGTATGTAATATACATATAGATAAACAATTGTATATCTTATTTTGTTTCAGATTTGTAAGCAGTTTAAAATGAAAAAAAAAAGGGGGGGTTAGGCAAATCTTGGAAAATGGTGTTTCCCTAGTTGTTTTGAGTAGGAGCAGTGGTTCAGTGAAATTTAAAATCAGGAAACTGCAAGTAAGAATGCTAACTTAACTCTTAGTTGATATCAGACCAGGGCATTTGAATAATATTAACTCAAGATCTCTGTGTTGTTTTGACAGTGGTTGCAGCATAATAAAGTTGGCAGGCTAAAACCCACCGCGAACTGAAAAAGTTCAAATAATCAGAAAGAGTTGTTGCACTGAAGACTTATAGCATTATTTTCTATTTGCCGGATGTAGTTTTGTAGTTTTTGTGCAAAACTGGTATACGAGATAGTATGCTAGACTGGTTAATGTAATACAGTACTAAGTCCGAGATCTGGAATGATCTAAAATCCGAACCTTAAAGCCACCAAAAAAAAATAAAAAATTATGTTTATGCATGCGCATTCTATTTTCTTCCCCATAAGAAAGCATGTGGAGAATCCATATTCTTAATTTCACCTTTGGCATTAAATAAAAATACCTCATTATTGAACAAACAATCATTTTAGCATAAGTCTGTGTGATTTGGCTGCAAATCTGCTTGGCATACATCACAAACTGAAACATCGTTGATTTTACAACTAATATTTTAATCCCTGATGCCAACCTGGCAAATAATTATTTATTATATTTTGCTTTCTTCGTATGTTTATCATCATATGATAACTTGAGTAATGACTCATTGATATTAAACTTGGCTATCATTACATATTTATGTTAAATGCGCTAAATGTTGACGAGGAAAATTTCTTTCTACATGCTAAAAATAGATTTTGACTCATAGGCCAAAAGATGACATTTAGGTGCTATTTGAATTAAGAAAACTGACTTTTTATTCATATAAACTCAAAACCGGTGCCAGAGCTCGTATAGCCGCACCAAGCTGCAGAATTTAGGGAAGAAAAAATTTCTGGCATTTAGAGAAATACCGAATAACAAAATTAAGGGATGATAAAATTAAGGAAAAGCACTGGGACTTAAAATTAAGGGATGGCAAAAATTTAGAACTTTGGAAGGCACTTAGTAACAGAATTTAGAACCCACAGAGACTGCATCAGGCGAGAAAATATCTAGCTCTGGCCCTCGGTAAGCTTAGAATATATTTATTCAGGACCCAGATGAGCCTTAAACATGTGCAAGAATTGGACGTAAGTATAATAAATTGATAGAATTTAGGTTTAATTGTCTCCGTGCATGATAAAAGCAAGACAAAATTTAATGGAACATTTTGTCTTTCGTTGCCAGTCTTATGCTACGAGCCAATAATGTATAGCCAATAATGTATAGCAGAGTAAAATTACACTTTACTGATTCCAAACAATTTCAGCTAATGTAGCAGATTGCACTGTTACTTCATTTTCTAATTTGATCTAGCTTATTATTTTTTGACAGCTGTTATAATTACAGTAATTTTATGAAAACTAAAGTTTGAACTTTTGATTATGTTAAAAAGAGTTTCTAATTCTGGATCTGCAACAGAATGTATAAACTGAAAGCGTGTTTCGATGTCTATTAAACAAAGAGTGGCTGCAAAAAATGGATATAGGTATATCCATCTGAAAATTATTCGAGGAGTATGGCTTTGGAAAGTCAACTGTATAGGACAAAAGAGAAAAAGGAACATTATTAATTTTTTTTTAAATTCTGACACTCCATTTGCAATGAATTATAAACAAATTATTTGCTGTTCTAAAAGTGACGATCATGACAAAGTGATTGAATGGTCAGACAGAGATGCAGTGGGGGTGTGCCATTGACAGGTCCAATGCTAATGGCTCAAGCAAAAATATTTCATGAACAAAATTTAAATCCTGACTGCACATATTCCACAGATTGGTTAACCAAATTTTAAAATCGCTGTGGTGTAATGCAATTAAAAATTTCAGGTGAAAAGCTTCAACTGATACTGAAGCAGATG